TTTGTTATTAATCAAAATAATTTAAAATTCCTATTACAATGATAAAATTAAAACATGTTTATAGTTTTTGCACTTTTGTTCTTGACTATTTTTATCTTTGTAGTTTAACATTTTTTTTAATGTTAATTTCTCTAGTCTCTTGGTGGATTTTTAACTCCATATATTATTATATTTATATTTTTTTTTGGATAAATGAAACTTTATTTTATTTTATTAAGGAATAGATAAAATAATTAAATGATATATACTTTTTGCTACAAGTAAATATTTGAGACGATCAATATGTCCATTGGCCTAAGCATTAATAACATATACCCATTGACATCAATTGAGGTTGTTTTTCTGGAACGAGAGGAGTTAATTCTCAAGTACTATTATGCTTTAAAGCTTGCATTTCATCAAGCATGGCTCATTTCTATCATGGAGGATCAAGTTACTCACAAAACAATTAGGAATGAAAATAAAAGATATAGATTACACAAAAGGAGGATTGTCAAGAATATTTGTAGTCAAAACTGATTTTGGGACAAGGGAAGGTGATGGACCAAGATAAGGAATAAAACAAATTTTCTGAGTATTATGGAATTTTACTATGTATGATGGGAAATAAAACTTTTTTTTTAAGAACGTTACATATGTAGAAATATAGTAAGAATTATGCAAATGTTAGTAACATTTGTAACCTTTTTGTAACCTAGAGTAATCCATAAAAACACATTTTATGACTCATGCAAAAATCTTACAAGACTTGGAGATAAGTCATGAACAAGACAAGTGTCCCAAAATATTCGAGGAGAAATATGAAACAATGGTTCTTTAGGAAATAAAATGGAATATAGTATTTTATGGTCAAGAGAGGAAGAAGGCACTCACTTAATCAAAAACACAAGATGTCAAGGTTGGAGCACCCCTAATGTCGGATAGGTGCATTTGCATAAATTAACAAAGTCCGAACATGTTCAATAAACTGTATATTCTTCCTTTCAGCCATGTCATTCTATTGAGGGGGTATAAGGATAACTAGATTGATGGAGAATAGCATATGAAGACAAAAAAGAAGAAAGAATAGAAAAAATATTAGTTTGCGTCTTCACTTCTAATTTTTAGGATTTTCTTATCAAATAGGATTTAAACCTTATTGACATATGTAAGGAGAATGGACAATAAAGTTTATATGGTATTTTCATTAAAAAAATCCAGCTGCGTGAGAAGAATTCATCAATAAAAAAACATTAGAAGCCGTTAGAAGACACATGACTTGGTCTCTATATATCTAAATGTAGAACAAAACAGGGAGAATTAACTCGACATTCAACTTTGCTTGGAAAGAAAGAGCGAGTAAGTTTGCCTAGTTGACACGACTCACAATTTAATGATGAAACTTTTGCAAGATTTGAAACCATTTATTTTAATTTTGAAAAACTTAAAAGACCCAATCATTCATGAAAAAGGTATAAAGACTCAACCACAATACGACATAAGAACTAATTTGAGGTAATAAATACCATGTGATTCATGTCATGCATCAATCATCTGACTTGTACCACGTTCTTGTATAGCAACTAAAGTAGCTTTAAAAGTTAGTAAGCAGCTTAGAGACCGTGTAAGCTGGATAAGGAAGATCAAATTTAAAGGGAACCAAGTATAAATAAAACAAAATTTAAAGTTATCGAAGGAGTGACAAAAAAAATATTGATTTTCCAACAATATGATTAGAGGAACCAGAATCAACCATCTAAAGATTTTGATTGTTACAAGATTGAGATAAGAGGGTTGCGAAAGAATGAATATTAGTGACAATCTACATGTGTGATGATTTTCCTAGAAAAACATGAAGAGGATAACATATCTCTTAAGTATGACCTATTCTCTTGAAATATGTGCATTGAGGACAATCCATTTTCTTTTAAAAAATTGAATGGACCAGAGAAGTGACAATAAGAGATGAAAACTAGAAAATGGAAGTAGCATTGGCTTTTGGACTAGAGAAGTGTTGTTTGTATTTTACTTTTTATTTTTTAAAAACCAAGGAAGATTCAAGTGTTCTAGGGGATTAGAGGTAGGAACCCTTAATAGGAAAATAAACCAGCTCTTGGCACCATATAAAAATAAGAATTTTTTTTATATGAAATGCTTGAGTAAAATTTCACTCAACTAATTTTCTTATATACACACTAGAATTAAAAAACATTGTGAGAGTTACAAGGATATTAAATGTAATTTCTAATTCCTCAGTACATGAATGTTTTATATTAAGCGCTTAATTAGTTATTAATCTCCTGAACATATTCCAACTTGTAATGATATATTTATAAAGACTTATCAAGGGTGAGGAGATCATGGCCATCGGTACGGGGTGACACCATTTTACTGTCCACAATGAGGGAACCTCTCCTTAAGCTCTCTCCACTCACCCCGTTTGGGGAAACGTTGGAAAAGACACATCTTGGTCAGAGAGAATCCATAGTCAATAGACTAGACCACATCTTCCTATAAAGTAAGGATTCAACGGTTCACTATGATGATTATGTGGGAGATTATCATTTTCGAGAAACCCTAATTGTAGGCCTATCTGGCCTATATAAATACCTCATCTTTAGAATGAAGAAAGACAACTCATAACGTAGAGAAAATACCTAATATATAAAGAGTTTCTCACCTCACGTGAGCTTGCTCTCTCCATAGTAAAAAAACCACCAAGTAGGGTTTCTCACCACAATGATCAACCCCTAAACCATTGAAAATTACTAAGGCCTCTGGCCACTCCTACCAGCATATAGGTGCTATGTATTATGTACTTCTTGACAATTATACACAATTTATTTTATAATTCCAATATCTAGATTAAAGAAATTGGATAGAAACATGGTCTTAGATAAAAAATTTATGGAATAGTTTGATCCATATAGCCAACCCCACTTAGTAGGATAAGACTTGGTTATTGTTGTTGCTAATTTTAAAATTTGTATGATCATGTAGTGTAGTCGCCTCCAAGGGTCGTTAGTTCATTCTTATCCTTAAGTTTATCACTTATTTGGTGTGGAATGTGCTTGAAACATAAAAGAGACAAATATTCTCATGTGTTTGACAAATGAATTGCTATTTATCCAAATTTCCTCAAGAACTATGTCTAATATTTTGGTTGGATTTCTATTGAGCACATAACAACAGCGGTGATTGTTTCCCCCTAAATATCATGTATTATATTCTTTTCCTTCAACATGCATATAGTCATGTTCCTCAACTCAACAAGACCATTATGTTGAACTGTATATGGTGTAGTGATCTCATTTTGAATTCTCATTTCTTTACATAAGGATTCAAATTTCTTGTATGTGTAATCACGATCTCCATAACTTTTAAGAATCTTTAGTTGCATTTCTACATGTTTTTGTGCTTGCACCTTGAAGTTCTTGAGTACATTGATCATCTTATTTTTTATCTTTATTATATAGAATCACACTATTCTACTAAACTTATTCACAAAGGAATCAAGGTATATATTCTCTTCAAATGATGCACGTTCAAGCCACCAAAAACATCATAATATACATCAAGTTTTCCTAGTTCTCTCATAGGAATTTGAGACACAAATGATTTTATGAGTTACATATAAAACAATTCTCGCACATATTTACAAGCAACCCAATCTCGAAAAACTTATATATCATTTCATTTAACTTTAAGACTTTGTTTGAGATTTTGGAGAGAAAGGGAAGTGAGGACTTCAAAAAAAGATTAAAAAAAAAAGAGAAATCTTTAATGTTGTTTCGAAAAAATGTTTTGTTTACAATGATAAAATAACACTTATAATTATCATATTTTCTATTTTTGAAATACTATAACACAAAATTATATTTGAATAATTTTTCTGAGTCCTTCAAAACCCTCATTTTATACAACTTTTTAGTTTCTCAAATTGAAGAAATTTTAATTTTTGAATAAAAATAAATCCTCCAACCCTCTCTCTATCTAAAATTTTCTATTCTTATCACTCAATCTTTCCTTTTTTTAAAAACCTCTTTCTCTCTTTTCCCTCCAAACTCGCAAACAAAATCTAAGATAGAAAAACTCTTAAAATTAAAATATTCATAAGTGAGACGATAAAATCAAACATTATCACTGATCACCTTAGATGCAAGATTGTGATCAATTGCATTAATATTCTATTTTTAGATAGATAGAGGAGCTCTAAAAATAGTTTTTATGTATATCAAAAACCTCCATTTGATTGTTGAGCAAGTTCATGGTGAATCCTTTCTCAAGTAACCGACCATGCGTTTGAATGTTTTGATTATTTTATATTCCTTTTCTCAAAACATCATAAACTACTTCTTATGATATGTACAAATCTTGTCTTTATCTTTCTTTAAACATTTTGTTTATATGTACTATTCATCAATGCTTCCCAATCCCAACCCATCATTTGTTGTTTCCACTAGCAAAATAGGATCTAAATAAATCTCACTCATTTTCATCATGAGTCACACATTCCTAATTCTATGTGTTGCCTAATCTATTTGGGACATGTTTGCACTTGCACTCATTTCTAAAGTTTACAAATCTTTTCAAATTATATCTAATTTCGTAAAAGAATTATACTTTTAGATATTGTGTAATATCACATGTGTTTTGTCTTTTACTAAGCTTTATGAACTAATACAAAATGTGTCTAAAAATTTACACCAAATAAAATAATAATTAATATCTAAATATTATCTTAACCAAGATGCAGATAAAGTTGCCTGCCGCCAAGAAAAAGAGAGAGGAAAAACAGAAATTATAATTTTATGATAATTAAGAATAAAAATTAATTTTTTTTAATTGCGAAATCATATATTTTAAAAAACTTACTAATTATAGAAAAATCAAATTCTAACCTCAATTTTATAATCAATTATATATGATATTTCTTTACATAGTAGTTGTGATTACTTATATAGTGCTGCTCCAAGCTAACACTTCAAGCACAAATCACATAAACTTTTCAACTCGTTCACATGACTCGTCCTTTCAGATATCTCGGCGAGCTCAACTCGTCTTCCTCCGACTCACCTGACTCTGCCGTCGTTGACTCCGATTTCGTCGTCATCCTCGCCGCTCTCCTCTGCGCTCTTATCTGCGTTCTAGGTCTCGTCGCCGTCTCTCGCTGCGGCTGTTTCCGTCGCTTACGTCTCCCTTCCCCCGCCCTCGCTTCTCAAACTACACCTCCTGCTGCAGCTAACAAAGGCGTCAAGAAGAAAGTTCTGAAATCTCTTCCGAAGGTTACAGCGACGGAAGAATCCGCAGTGAAATTCTCCGATTGCGCTATTTGTCTGAGCGAATTCGCCGCAGGAGATGAAATCCGTGTGTTACCTCAGTGCGGACATGGCTTCCACGTGTCATGTATCGATGCGTGGCTCAGATCTCATTCTTCGTGTCCGTCTTGTCGTCAGATTCTGGTAGTTTCTAGATGCGATAAGTGCGGCGGAATCCCCGCTCCCGCAACTAACGCCGCCGGATCCAGCTCTACGCCGGCGCCGGAATCTGAAGTTAGGTTAAAGGTAACGGAAGCCGATGGGAACAGTTTCTTGCCTTAGGTTTCGCGTTTTCTTTACATTAACTGAAAATGATTGTTTCAAAAAAAAAAAAAAAAACTGAAAATTAGTGAATCCTTAAGTTTAAAAAATCTCGTGTATATTAATTATAGGTTGGAAAAGGATTATTATCAATTTATTAGATTATGTGTGATTTTTTAAATTTGAATAGAAATTAGTTAATTAGAATCAGCAGTGTAGAAGTTATATTGTTGCATTCGCACAATAGTGAAGTTGATTATGTACAATTTGCTTCAGTTTAGAAGAAATGAATAATTATTTTTTACTTTCTATTATTGTATTGTAATTGCTCATTATACAAAATCTCAAAACCATCAAGTAATACAAAAGCTTTGTTGCTTTTCCAGTTATTACTATTTTTATATAGGAGAGAATTAATTTAATAATTCACTTTATTGTTATTAAGTCAAAATGTAGTTTTTTTTAATATTAAAGTTTATTTAAAAATTAATTTATTGTTCAACTTAATCTTATATAAATCAATAAATCAAGGAGAAAATTGAAATACGGCTCAATGAAATGACACATTGTTAAGATTTGTTTGAATTGATGTAAAAATGGAAACAAAGTGGAATGAAATGGAATATATCTAACTATTATTTTAAAAGTTAAGACAAACTTTACTATGTATAAGTGTAAAAGATTAATAATATATAATGTTAAAAAAAATTAAAATTGAAGAAAAATTGTATGAAAATACAATTTTTATATTTAACCACGTTAAGTGAAAGGGTTTTGAGTAGGGGTGTGTAGAAAAACCGATTCACAAAAATCAAATTTAAAATATGTACCGATTTCAAAAGTCCATATTATTTATTTTAAAAAATCGGTGTCCACTTTTTAAAATCGTGATTAATTCATTTTTCAAACTCTTTATCTTTTTTTTTTCATGTTCATAAATGACAATTAAGGTAATATATATATAATAAATAAAACTTTATATATATATATATATATATATATATATATATATATATATATATATATATATATATATATATATATATATATATATATATATATATATATATATATATATATATATATATATATATATATATATATATATATATATATATATATATATATATATATATATATATATATATATATATATATATATATATATAAACCAAATTCATATCTAAATTAATTTAAATTTTAAAATCCCAGTCCAAATTTATATTTTGAATTTGATGGCCCATTTATCAAATTAAACAAAGAAACGGTAACTATTTGTTTCAAATCGAATTTGAGATTCGGTAACCATTTTTCAATAAGCTTCAAAATTAAAAGTAGAATAGTTTGGAAAAATCAAGATCAACACCCATAATTTGCAATAAAATTGATTTGGTTTAAAGTAGAATAAGTTTAAGGTAGATAGTTTGTAATAAGTTTAAAGTAGAATAAATTTCACGATTAATTGATTTATATCAATTCAACGTACTTCTCGATTAATTGATTTAATTCACGATGAAAAGAAATTAGTCTAATTCCAGTTTTACATTGAGTAGTTTAAAGTTTAAGATATATGGAATGTTGATTTAATTCAACGTAAAACTGAAATAAAATTGATTAATTGATTTATATCAATTACTTGATAGTTTGTAATAAGTTTAAAGTAGAATAAGTTTCAGGTGGTTAATCAATTATTTGATAGTTTGCAATAAAATTGATTTTTTTTAAATTAATTTTAAAATTGATTTTAAAGAAAATAAAAAACTGGTTTTGAGAGATATCGGTTTAAAACTGGTTTTTAAAAAAACTGTTTTTTTAAAAACCGGTTTAAAACCGAACTAATCCACTTATAAACTGGTTTAAAAAAAATAAATTGATTTTATATAAATGGTCTTAAGATCCAAACCAAACCACATATATAGTTTGGTTTGGTTTGATTTATAATCCATGGACACCCCCTAATTTTAAAGACCGTATGTTTTTTAATAAAATTATCATCCAGCTTCGGTCATACTAGAAAAAAAACCTTCACAAAATCTACATATGTATCATATGTATGTCTTACTCAATCGTGCACTAGTCTAAATATCAATCTTTCTTCGCATATACTCTAAGGTGAAAATAAATCAAATATAAGATGGTAACAAAGTTATGTTGATAGCTTAGAAGCTCTTTATATAATTCTTTTTTATATTTAATTTATTTTTATTTTAATTTAATTTTATAAAATGAATTAGACTAATTTTTTATTTGTATAACTATTTAAAATACTAGTAGAATTGTGAATCACTACAATTTCAAAGAAATGGTTTTTTCTCAAAATAAAATAACAATATTATAGTCCAGCTCAATCCAAATGTATTGAGAGTCGTTGGTGATTAAAGTGAATTAATAATATTGTTGTTTTAAACAAAAGTTTGCATTGCAGGGATTTAAACAAAAAGATAGAAAAAAGAAGAGTAATAAAGTGAGTGGATGTGCAAAGGGTAAAAGAAGTTATATAAAATGAGGGAACTGGATTCCCAGCCGTGAGAATATCCATAGACCATAGTGGTAGGAAAGGAATTTTGAGTTGGTTTACCAAACTTTAAATTTGGACTACGTGAGCAAAGTATCTTTGGTTTTACTCACTTTTCAAATGTTAAACTTATTTTAAAATATTGATTTGCAAAGCATACATGACCCTCATATAAAAAAGAGTAGAAGATCTAGTAACATATGTTTTATGTGATAGATGTCTTCAAGAAAAAGTTTTAGTGGCTCAAAATCATAAAATTGAGGTATAAAATTAGAAAGGGGCTCAAAATCATAAAATTGAGGCATAAAATTAGAGAGATATATTATATAAGCAAATAAAACATTGTTATCATGCTCAATGACTTATTCTTAAGATACTTCTTTTATCGAGCACTAATGCACTGATGTAAATGATTTAGATATAATGAAAAATTATTAAAACACCATTGCAAATCAAAATCTATTCTATCACTCTCTGTAATCTAACATGGAATCAATCTTAAGGCGTATCTCACTTTCATTCTGTCATTATTATTGGAAATTTAACTATAATTTATGGAGAATTTCACTCGATCAATCTTGATCTCAAGATCGTTTCAACCCACGTAACGACAATAAAAGAAAAGTTTTGGAAAGAAAAAAAGTAAACGTTGGAGAAGAAGATGAACAAATTTTCTGCTGAGAACTCTTTACCCAATAACTATATAAGTTATGTTATTTCACTTGAAATTGCAAACTGTGAATTACAAAATATGATGAGTTGTATACAAAATAAGGGTTTATCCCTATTTATAGATTTAGGTTAGCTTGCACCCCAGGTCAAAGTACAAAACTATAAAAGCCCAAAATAGATAACATTACTAAAATAGGCCTAAATCAAAATCCTGTGTGAAACAACCTGTTTCGACACTTCGACACACTAACACATTAGACTAATTTGACTAATCCTTGTTTCTGTCGAGCTACACTGCTTCGACACAAGGAATTACAAACTCAACACACCACCTAATTCATTGTGTCTAAGCTATCTACATTCATCATAGACCTTACCCTTCTGAACATTTCGACTGGGACTCCCTTCGTCAAGATGTCTGCAATCTGATTCTCAGTTCTGCAGTGTTCTAAATTCATCTTTCCTTTGCTATCGGCTCTCGAAGATAATATAACCTCATTTCGACGTGCTTGCTTCGACCATGTGTTATTGGGTTCTTTGCCAAGTTGATAGCTAACATGCTGTCAATCTTCATGGTAATTTCTCCATGAATCTTCGCTGTGATCTCTTCGACTAGGTTCACCATCCAGGTTACTTGACATGCACAAAGAGAAGAAGCTATATATTCTGCTTCACATGATGACAATGCCACTACTGGCTCCTTTCTCGAACTCTAAGCAACTGGTGCACCACCTAACATAAACACATAACCAACTGCGGATTTTCTATCATTAGCATCACTACACCAACTAGAGTTGGTGTATCCTACTAACTTGGATTCTTTTCCTTCATAAGCTGCAGGAAACAAAATTATGTAGTCGAGAGTCCCTTTCAAATACCTCAATATCCTCTTCATCGCTGCAAGGTGTGATATATTTGGCTTCTGCATGAATCTACTTACCATACCTACTATACTGTATGCTAAGTTATGCCTTGTGTGACAAAGATATCAAAGTGACTCAATAAGTCTTCTATATTGGGTTGGGTCGACATCATCTTCATCTGAATCCTTTGACAATTATAATCTGGTCTCATCTGGAGTCGAAGTTAGGTTGCAATTTTGCATCTCAAATCTCTTGAGTATTTCACATGCATATCTTCTTTGGTGCATCATCAAACCTCTACTACTCTTGTAGAATTTGATGCCAAGGAAATATGAGAGATTTCCCAAGTATGACATTTCAAACTCCTCACTCAAGTTATGTTTGAAGTCTTCTATCTTCTTCTCGCAACTTCCTGTTATCAACAGGTCATCGACATAGAGGCATAGTATAAGCAGTTCAACACTGCTTCTTCTTACATACACTTCATGCTTAGTCGTACACTTCACAAATTCCTTCTCCCTTAAGAAGCTATCGATTATCCTATTCCAAGCTCTTGGAGCTTTCTTAAGTCCATACAGAGCTTTATGCATCCTGTACACATTTCTTTCTTCCCCTCATTTCACAAACCCAATTGGTTGTGCAACATAAACTTATTCATCTAAGGGACTATTCAGGAATGCACACTTCATGTCCATCTGACATGTGTGTCAATTGTTTATATTTCTAGACCAACAACCAATCCGATTGTTTCGATCCTAGCAACAGGTGCAAAAACATCATCGAAGTCGATTCCTTTCTTCTGAAGAAATCCTTTCGCCACAACTCTCGCCTTGTGTCGAGTTACTTCTCCTTTAGGATTCACTTTCACCTTGTAAACCCACTTCACATCAATTACTTTATTGCCTTGAGGCAAATCGACAAGTAGCCAGGTGTTGTTGACTTCGATGGAGTCTAACTCCTCATTCATTGCT